GCTCTAGCTCGCAAAATATGGTGATTAGTGATTTTTGTCTACTTGAGTGCGATTTTCTTTTGCTTCAAGTACGGGGGTCGCAAGGTTTTTTAGGGGGAGTACGCACCTCGCACACATCCAAAACACTTTAGGGAACATCTCCTCTAAGATACTGCAATTGTAAATTGCATTTCATCTCTCCAGCTGTGATGGAATTTTTATGAGGCACCAGTGTCAGAAAGAAACACCACAGTTCAATGGCATTGGCAGATCTGGGTGGGGGGGTGGTCAGTGGTCCTGACCCCACCCCCCTTGGAAAAAATTTTAAAAAATAAAAATTCTCTGTGTACCGGTACACACGTAGCCCTATTTACTGTAATAAGAATGAGAAAAAGAATAAGTATAAGGAACTCAGTTTTTTTAAATGTATGTATAAACACATAAATAGGCCTATTTTACTGTAATAAGAATGAGAAAGTTCACCTGACCGTTTTCAAGAGTGGGAATTTGAAGAACTTAACAGTCATTAAAAGACAACTCAGAAGTCTGGAAAGCTCATTTCCCACCATCTAAGAATCAAAATTTTCCCGGGGGAGACACCCCCCCCCCCTAAATGTGAACCTAGATCTGCCCCTGTCAATGGGAATGATTAAATATTTAAATACAAAATGATAAATTTATCAATATTATATATCTTATAAATTCAATACTAAATAAGATTGAATTTAATAATTATAGTACAAGAAACTCTATATTGCACGACATTTAAAAAAATTGCACATTAAACATTAAAACTAATATGGATTGATATGGGAGTGAAGACATCATTAAAAGAAAGGGTGAAATTATTGTCTATTATATATTTTTAAATATATTTTGATGTATATATTGTCAATGTCTATTGACAATTATGATGAAGATTTTGAACTACTACTACATTTGCTGGATTTTTTTTCCCACCAAGCACATAATATTTATTAATTTTAATTCAAATGCAAGATATGTAGGGTTAGGATATTGATGTTCAAAGTGACTTTTCACCTAAATAAATAGATCTTTAGATAATGCTTGAGACAGGGCCAGCGCTAGCTGAGGGGGGGGGGTCGGAGGGGGATAAGAACTCCCTGTCGGGGACCTCTGGATCCCCCTGTCAGGGAATTTCCAGCAAGGTCATTGGGGTAAAATCAAATCAGGAGCGCCGAAAGTACAATTCAAGCATGCTTTCCTAAGCTGCCAAATTTTAGGGATTAAAACTGTTTAGTGCAAGCAGTGCTATGTATGTGTGAGGTGTTGTATAATATTGCGATCGTATGGGTTGCAGTGCTGCCGGCGCCAGCTCTTCTCCGACAGGGGGCTGGTACGTCTGACGGGGTTAGTTCCCCCAACAGGGGGACTAGCAGAGGAGGATTTGGGGGAGGGGCGGCCTAGCCCCCGCCCCCTCCCCCTTTGGGAGGTAAAAAAAGTAAAAAAAAAGAAAAAAAAAGAGAGTAAAAGAAAAAAATGATAGCCCAGAATGCCTCAAATGTTATGTTCGGGCGTCTAGAACACAAAATTTCGCGGGGGCATGCCCCAGACCCCCTATGACAGTGTTGTCTCAATCGGCCCAACTTTCGCCCCCACAACTACCCTCCTTAAATATGGGGGTTAGTACCCCCGACAGGGGTACTCTAAACCTGCATGGTTTTTCTATCAAATTATCATTTTTAAATAAAGAATCCCATAATTAACACAAAATTCAATTATTTTGTAATAAAAAAATTCTCCGTCAAATATAAATTTTTCCCCAGGGAGGTGGGGAAAACGTTCGGGTGTGGACCCCTTGTCGGGGAGTTTTGACCCCACTATTAAAATTTGTTGTACTGTCTACTAAATTTTTAGAGTCTAGAGGACAAGCTTATTTTTATACGGCGCCTCATACTTGTATACGGTATTAGGCGGCCACTCTGGCGTCCCATATCATCTATTCATAAACAAACAATCAAGCATGGCGAAGTTTCACGATTTCAATATCAGCTTCACAAAGGATAAAAAACAGCTACAGAAATTAATTGCAAATGCTGCGAATGGTTTGTATAATATGTACTGATGAATAAAGAATAATATCGTTTAATTAGAAAGTTTAAAACATGAGTTTCTATCACACTATATCATAGAATGTCTAGGCTAAGTTACGGCTCACCGGTTGGTGTTTTACATTTGTAGCCTGGCTAATTGAATATAATTCAGCCCTGGCGATTTGTAGTGAGTATGCTAGGTAGAGCCTAGCTAAGATAGCCCATAGACGTATACTACTATATTAAATATGCAAAATCGTTATGATCCAATCGTGATTTACCGTACAATACTCTTTAAATACCATATAAAATAATGCTTAAATAAAAGTACGTTTTATAACAGACATCTTTTTAATTTGTGTTCTTTCACTCAGCTGGATATGAAATAGTGGCAGTAAATCATGTTGTTGCAGATAAGAGATCAGTGAGTCAAATAACAACTATTTTAGGTCAAATTATATGTAACAAAAACAGGGTTTTCCAGGCAAAACTCAAGGGTCAGAATGAATAACACATTTGTGAATTAGGCAATAAATATACAAAATTGCCTTTTGTTGGCCATTCTTACAAATACATACTAGTAAGCCTTACGGCGTAGGTCTATTTAAGTTTAAAATGATTTCCTGGGTATAGGTCCACATCCAAAGTCAGGGCAATTTTATATTCAAATATTCAAGTTATTAGATTATGGTATGTAGATTAAAGCAGGGAGTTGTTATATAGTATTGTCCCAAATAATCATGAATAATTTTTGAAATTAACTTGCCCATTTTGAAGTGACATACAAAGTCAAGTTGAACATAAAAATTGGTGTATTTAAAAAATGATTTCCAATAATTTTACAATGAAAGATGGTAGCAAACACTTCCAGTCACTGGAAGTGTTTATTATTTTTATTATAATTATCCACTTTAAGAATCTGTGTACACATCTTTTTAATTCAATAATTTCCATGTTAATTTAGTAATTTATATGTTACGGCAAAATGATCAAGTTAATTTCAATTATGATTTTTTTTTGTCGTTTTCAAGGGACAATAGGCCTACATCTTTAACAAAAATATCTATTAAGCTACTAAACTAATTGCTCTTTTCTATGGTAAGATAGCTATGGTGAGCTACAGTAAGCTATGGTAATAACATCTCTCAATAAAGAAATTACTACAACTATCAGGATAAAGCTACATTCATATCAAGCCCGGAATCCGGAGAAAAAATCATGAAAAATGGGTCCAGTGGTGAAGAATACAACCGTTCACATCAAATTCGTACGATTTTCAATCCGGACTCCGGATCTGGACCGATGGATCTGAGAGCCATTTGTATCCTGAAATCGTACGTTTTTTTTTTCTTGGACCAATCGGCAACAAGCTTGCTTGGTTTGAACCAATCAAACGCATACATACTTAACCCGGACAACCATGCTCCGTGCGGGATCTGAATGCAGCGTTCAAAAAACGTAGCAACTCACAATTTTTTTTCCGGGCTCCGGACCGGATCTGGGCTTGATGTGAACCTAGCTTTAGACCTTTTAACTAAGCCCGGCCCCTTCTATATTGTTGCTCGGGGTCCCACAGAAGTGTTCTTATTGGTCAGTTGTTTGTTGAGTTCTATTGACCCTCAGTAATTGATTGTTATAATTTTCCAGCTGCAGAATGCACCAGCACCAGTAGAGTTGGAGGATGCAGACATTGCAAACTTAAAGGTTGGTAAATCCTGATTTTCTTTCTGGAAATCCATCACAATGTTTTGTGTTTTCATTTCTAAATTCATAATTCAGAATTTCTTTACAGAATACAGTTACAGTTTATTACAAAACCTAGAACATCAGTAAAATATAAAACATAAGTCTGTAACCTTAATCTACTGCACAGTAATTTTAGTGGAGTTCATAGTTGTGTATGTGGCATAATGTTTTCTTCTGCAGTATTGTAGCTCAAAGATGTCTGCCAGGTCTTTTACCAATCAAAATTATTATGGAATGGATGATTTTAACTTTTAATGTCGCTAGTACTGTCCAGGGGTGGATCCAGAAATGTCCAAAAGGGGGGCCGGAAGGATAACACTGTCGTAGGGGTCCCCCGAGATTCCCCCGCGAGATTTTTGTGTTCTAGACGCCCGAACATAACATTTGAGGCATTCTGGGCTCTCATTTTTTTTCTTTCTCTCTTTTTTCTTTTTTTTTTTTCTCTTTTACACTTCCCAAAAGGGGGGGGGGGGGCCGGGGCCGGGCCGGCCCCCCCTCTCCGCCCTGCTACTGAACAGTTGTATGCCCATATATGGTCATGATGTGATGTCATCACGACCATATATAGGCATGTCGCATGTTTTTGTCAAATAAGGCGGGGTAGCGCCAGGATTTGCCCAATGGTGGGTCATATGCCCTTGACAGGATGGCTGATGTCCCCGACAGGAGCAACTTAAGTGGACGTTGTCGGGCATCACTGAAAGTGTTTTGAAAGTGCTCCAGGGGCAAAACCTCAGAAAAATATGACAATTTAGGAGTTTCAAAGGCTTTATTTAATTTGTAGAAAATACATATAAATTGTTTTTCTATAGAACTAAATAATACATCCTTATACCACAATACTTTCCATTATTGATTTGTAGGACAGACAAAGTATTGTGTTATTGACATATACGACATATGTTTAAAGCGTCTGTTACATAAGTATATTATTTAGCATTTTTAGAACACTGTTCATTACAGGCTCAAGGAAAACGACTGCAACAGCTCTCGAGAATCACACTAGTTCTGAAGGATATTAATACTTTTCCAAGAATGGTATGCAAACATATTTTAACTTACAGTATAATTATTTTTATATTATTTCATTGATATTTATGCTGTAAATCACTGTTCCGTATCTTATGGGTGAGAACCCTACGTACACATTGTCGGTAATTACTCTCAGTAATAGGAAGCTTTCGATTTGTGTGACGACGCAACGCTAGAATGGAATTACTCATGCGTGACCATCTCACCGGCGGCTGCAAACTGTAGGTAGATTTAGCCAAATTGCATCCTAGAATCCACTCAACAAGGAGAGCTAAATGTCCTTTCATGCACAGATGACTTTTAGTGATGTCATTATGTTCTGCGTCCTACCATCGTCATGCAATCCAACGCTGTCTATTGTATGTACCCATGACAGCATCACAGCTGACATTAAAAAGAATATATTTTTGCTCAATTCGATTTGTTGTACAATTATGCTTATTATTTCATCTGTCTAGAATACATATCCACACATTACAGCCTAACTTTGATTCAAAATGGAAACAACTAAAATATTGTGAAAACAACAGCATTTTCAACAGTGCTTTTATAACTAAATATTTGCTCATTTTAATTTTTGTTTGATTTTTATTGTTTATGGTTTATTATGTTGTTGTTGTGCGACTAGAGGATATTAACATTAGGTGCTATATAAATATTGATTATTATTTTTTACTATTTTAATTTGACTTCTTTCCTAGTCCAATAACACCATGATCCAGTCATATGATCTGCTAGCTGTGCAGCCGACAACGGAAAAGCTTTTTCTTTTGGCATGCACTCAGCTTGAGGTTGATATTATATCCATTGACTTCAGTCAGCGACTCACATTCTTCATGAAATATCACCCTGTCAGAGCTGTGAGTTTTCTAAAAATTTGAATTTTATGCGATGAGTGCCCATCACATGGTCCTGGTTCAATATTTGGGAGCTTTAGAATCTAGATTCTTGACGACGTAACTCTAGAACAGATTCACTCATCCGTGACTGTTCTTGCGTTCGCTGCACAATGTAGATTTAAGCAAGAATGTGTCCTAGAATTCAGACGGCAATGAGAGCTCAACGTTCTTGTATGTGCAGATGATAAAAATCATACTTCCATTTTATTAGCTTGCAAATTCTGAAGCCACATAAAGAGTCTTGGTTATAGAGTATCAGTGGTCCCAAATAATCAGCTCTCCACTCCCAGGTTTTTTTCTTTATTGCTGGGCATTTTATTTTGAGGTATGGGTACAACATTTTTTTAAATAACGAAAACATAAAGCCGTTGCTGAATGTTTTTATATTGTTTTTTGCAGGCTTTAGATAGAGGAATTCACTTTGAGATCAACTATGCGCCAGCAATCCGTGACACGTATACAAGGAGGAATATTATCAGTAATGCACACGCATTAGCTACAGTGAGTAAAGGCAAGAATATCATTATCTCCAGTCAGGCTGATCGGGTTAGTTACCATTTTGGATATAAAACTCTATCCACATATCATAATCTCTTTGACCAATAAAAAACTGTTTGCCCATATATAATCATGATATGCCCATATATAGTCATGATGTGACGTCATTACCACCATATAGGCATATCACATGTTTTTGTCAAATAAGATTTGATAATCTTGAAAGGGATTTATACTAGAGCTGTAATATCCAGGCAGGGGTGTGGTGCAAGGATTTTCCCTTGACAAGAGGGCTGATGTTTCAAAAGTAGTCGAGGGTACGAAACCCTAGAGATTTAGGGGATTCAAAGGCTAATTAATTCATGTCTTTTAATATATAGAAAATACATATAAATTGTTTTTCTCCGCTACGAAGAATTGTGGTTTTTCTCCCTGACGGCGATGTCAGCTCTCCCCGGCGGCTGTCAGATAAATTAAAACTGTATAGTATAATTTTTAGTGTGTCAGTTTCTATATACAGTAATTAATTGAATTCGCCATTGAGAGTATTCAGATACATGGGTACATTTTGAAGGATGCCCACTAGTTTGTGGTAATACTTTTTGAAATAGGATTGCATTCAACGAAACCCTGATAGTCGGACCTCTTGCAGTTGTATACTATATATTATCAACTTGTTTTGACAAATACATGGGATTTGCCCAATATAATGATGAATACACAAACATACGAGTAATCGCAGATACTCCTCACATCAAATTTGATAGTGTGGATAGAATTTGATGTAGTATTTTTTCTTTCTTTTTTAGATAATGGAGCTACGGTCACCATATGATGTTGCAAATCTGTATCCTTCAGTCTTATAACTTATTATATCTTTGCTAAAATATATATATATATATCAGTTTTCCTATGTTAGCATATAGAGTATGGCTTGAAATTGAAACCAGATTTTCTGGATCTACATATCTGTTAAGATGTTTTCCTTCAAATTAACATTAGGGGACTATTGTTTGGATTGAGTGAAAACCAATCTAAAGATGCAGTATCCAGGAACTGCAGAGCTTTAATTATGCATTCTGGTAAGTTGGGTCTTTTTTTTTTTTGGTTTTTATATTTTAACCATTATACTCCTAATTTTATTTAATTACTGCAATCATATTTAATGAGGATGGTGAAGTGGAGTGGGTTTGGTGTAGTGGAATGGTTTGTTTTCCCAACCTCAAGTTTGGGAAATGTCTACATTGTATTAGTCCACCCAGGAGCTGTATCAATGGGTACCAGCAAATTTGCTGGAAGTAACCTTCGGTGGACCAGCGTCCCACCCATGGGGGCATCACACTCACATCAGCTTCACACTACTTGAAACTGGGGATAAGCTCCAGCCACTATGAACCCTTTGGCTCAGCAAGGATTGGAGGTGCTCCATTCTGGAATGCTGGTCATTTCTATTTGTGTGTATTTGGAAGACTATTTTCTGTTTAACAAATATGTTGGCACGTTTTATATTGATTTTCTTCTCTTTTAATTTATTGTAAAGTGTCTAGAAGATCCGTGCGATCGACATTGTCTGTGAGACGAATTGAAGAACTCGAACCAAAAGAAAGCTGGAAAGTGATGGCAAACAACCCAGAGGAAATAGTTAAACTCAGCAAGGCATCAGATGAGGAGACAGAGAGACCAAAGAAAAAGAGAAAAAGATGAAAAAAGTAGCATACAAGAATATGAGATATTATACAATTGTTGATGAAATAAGATTCCATGCCAGAAGCTTAGATAAAATACAATGCGAGAAGATGGGCCATGAGTTAACATGTTATGCGAGAATATGGTTGATGAGATAAGATCCAATGCAAGAAGGTGGACCATGAGATTAGATATACTGTAAAAATGTGTGATGATAATGTAAGAAAATACGAAGGTAAATGAAGACTATGCTTTTAAATTGTATTTTAATATATTTTCTTTACAATGTTCTCTCTGTAAACATAAGTGGACATTGGTATTACAATAAACCGACAAGTAATGTACTTGGGATGAATACTGGTATTGATGGACAGGATTGAGGATACTGTAGTCCATTTAATCTAGGACTATGTTGTCGTATAGTTCCTGAAATGAAAAGAATGTGTTTACTTAATGATACTGGTGTGGGCATTTATAATGCACCTCTTTCTTGAGGTTATAAAGCGCAGTTCTTTTCCCTGGTCATTGGGTCCACATGCTAAGTGTCTTGCTCAAAGACACAAGCGAAATGCACAGCAAGGGATTGAAACCCCGACTTCAAGGTTGGGAAACCAAACTGCCTCCATGTATTACCGTTTTTCATTTGGATCACGAACTGTCTGACCATAGGAACATACTATTGTATCATAGAATGTATTCGTATCACTTTTTACTAAAAGGATTAACTACACAAGGTATTATACTTTGTATATTATATAAAAAATGTTCATTAAAATCCATATTGAATAGACTAAACATTGTCTTGTTCTTTGTAACTATAAATACCTTTTCCGAGAGTCAAAAAAGTGTGAAAAATTCATATTCACTTTTAAAATCAAAGGCAGATCCTAATCTCAACTGCAATTTGAACAAAATTGCCTGTTGATCTGGAAACAACTTATTACACCATCAGTTCTATTCTCAGTAATTTTTTTTACTACATATACTTACTTTTTTATTGGTGACATGGACAAAGTTCTTTCTCCAGCTCCCTGAATCCACCATTGCCGTTTTCAATTCAATACTGTGCTAGAAAAAAGACTAAGTGACTGATGGATATCAATGAAGAAAAAAAGATATTTATTTGTATACAGTATACCTCTCCTAGCTGTCGGAAGCATTTTGCAAGTGGTCTGGCCATTATAATAAGGGTGGGGGAGGGGGTGAACATAATTGGCTGTTAAACAGACCTGATATGAGTACATGATTTCAAGTTAGTGGAATATGGGTGCATATCCACCCCAGGCCCACCATGGTTGGTGAACAGGGCACTTCTGAATGCCTGGAAATAACAGCTGATAACCATTAGATCCATTACCTTTCCCCTCCCCTCAGCCACCATGGTTGTAAAATCCTCTGCCGGGAAATTGCGCATACATACTTTACAAAAATGAATGTCCCTAACTTTTAAAGGGTGATAAATTTTGATTACAAGTAATTAGGGCAGGCTATCCATTAATAACTTTTTGTCATGGTGAATTTGGCCGGCTCCCATCCCTACTTTATGATAGTTATTGTTATTTCATATTTAAATTTCTTAAACTTTTTCAAAATCAATCTTAATAACTAAAATTAAGGATTTAAAAAAACAAGCATCATCGTCCCCACCACTTCCATCATCATCACCATCATCGCCATTAACATCATCATCCCCAACAATACCATCATCATCTAAATCATCAAGAGTTATCAACATCATCAATATCATCATAACCACCTTTATTATCATTATTATCGTCATCAACTTCATCATCATTTTCATGATCAATATCATCATAACCACCGACATCATTATTATCATCTCCATCATCATAAAGAATCGAGGTTTACAGAAAGAATAATGAATTGTTGAATTGTTTTTAATACCTCTGCAGGTGGCGTTTTACATATAAACAATACTGAATGGAGTTAAGACTACGAAGGAGACTTTACAATTGATAACAAGTGAGTACAGTATTGAACATTTTGCATCGTTAATTCAATAGTTAAATGGGAATTCTGACATCATTTTATGGTTATTATTTTGACTAAGTTTCTTAGGCATTGAAAGCATTGACCATTTCCTCCACAGAAGCATGCACTGACATTTTATTCAACAACAACATACATTCCAAGTGATTCGCGAAAACCATCACCTGAAACTGGCTAAAAAGAAACGTTATTTACAGTAATTGCCGTATAGCTTGGGGATTGTTAGCTTGCATTCGTTGTTTACATTGTAGATGCATATCTGTTTTTTTAATTGACAATTTAATTGACTTGTAACAAGTGGCGTATCTAGTGGAG